ATTCATAGCAAGGACTTCACCTAGGTTAAAAGTGCTAACATTGTTTGAGTGGGTGGTTTTGGAAGAAGGATTATCATTCTTCTTGCCTTTCCAGCCACTGTTGGAGTTATTGTTGGCAGCTTTCAACTTAGCCAGGTCGTCTTCAATATTGATTCCAATGTCGTAGACGGCCTTGAAGGTATGGAGGTTATTCTGATATTTGAGATGCTTGGAGTATTTTTCTTGAAGGTTTTTGATGAATAACCATACAGACTCTTTTTCACTGGGCACATCAATCATCTTAGCTGAGGTTTCTCTCCATTTGTTAAAGAAGAAGGTGAAGCCTTCATTCTCCTTTTTCTTGAGGATTTCAAGTTCCCTATGGTCAGTCTCAACTTGAATATTGCATTTGTATCTATCAACGAAAGCGTTTGCTATGGACTCCCAGGTGGAGGTTTTTTCTTTCTCGAGAGAAAAGAACCATTGCTGGCAAACGGCTTCGGGAGATAGTGAAAACAGGGAGGGGAACACCTTCTTGTCGATACCCTTAATACTCATTATTGTTTAGAAGGCTCTTAAATGAAAATAAGGGTTATCCGTTGCTTTGAATTTCGGGATGTCGTTGGCGTTGAACTTCTGCGGAAGAAGATCCTTGTCCACCGAGACCCCTTGTGAGTTAATCCCTTGAAACTTGTAGTCGCTTGATAGCTTGCTCAGACTCTCTAGCATGAGTTCCATCTGTTGTTGTTTCACGGGATCATCGATCTTAAGGGTTAGGATCTTTAGTGCCTCAGTCACGGTAACCAGTTGGTTCCTGAGCTCATTGACTTCTTCTTGTGTTGCCATTGCTGTCCTAGCTTTCCTCTTACGAGCGATGGGTTTATCGAAAATTTGGACTTGTACAAAAAGATTGTCTTTGATTAACCGCCCTTCCTTTCTTGCCCACGCGCTGTAATTTAAACCGTTTTTGTTTTAATTACTTGACTCAAATCGACCTTGACTTTACGGTTTTAAAGAGGAAAAATAAAAAATAGGTGCATATTTTTGGAAAAAATAAGGTATATATTTTTAGGAACCAAGTATGGTATTTAAATTGGAGGATTAATATCCGACTTACCCCCCTAAAAAATGACGGAAAAAACGCGCATACAAGATTTTCTTAGACATGGTCAAAGTATGTGTATTGGTGTGTGCGTTGAGTGTAAGTGACATGCTTGGACTTTTGTGTAAGACCATGGGACTTGGTGCCTAGACTCAATTAATGATTTAACAAGGTATTATTAACATTAAAATTTAACCGAATTACTTAATAAACTAGTTAATTAGACACAAAGTGATGACTCGAGCAATAAACCGAACTGTCGTCAAAACGACAGGACTGACGCCTCTCTTTGCAGTGTTGCGCCAAACGATAGAGTTGTCGCCAGGCACCACACTCCGCAGAGTGGCGCTATAGTTCGAACTTTGGCGCCATTGCTGGAGCGCCGATCTGAAACTGTTTTCGGTATTATTGATCAACAGGGGCATACCTAAAGTCGTACTAAGTCAACTCTGGTTAAAATATTAGACTTTATTTACTCAAATTAAGTAATTAATTAATTAATTAATTAGGCAAAGTTCTTTTAGTCATTAATTTATTTAATCTTAACACAAGTCAAACAAACGGTTAAGAAAAACACATATCATATGCACAACAAATAATGCACAATTAGTCAAGTAGGCACGATATGATGCAATGAGTTTGCAACCTAACCATGCCTCTAGTTCTCTAAAGTTCGGGATATGGGTTAGTCAATAGAGGGTCCATGGTTAATTGTCCAGATGCACCGCGCGGAAGCCTAACCGTGAAGGGTTGGCGCGAGTGGATGGGACACCGCAAATTTAGAAAAGTTCGCTTCCATGGTTTGGTGAATTCAACATTCTCGGATGTACCCTTTGTTGTTCATAGCGTACAATCAGGTAGATGGAGCATGAATTCCCAGATGGTTATGTCCATATGTAGAACACATATGGATTTCAGAATAGTGAGAAAAACTCAATCAAGAAGTAGGATCGAGCAAACAATGCTAAAAACTGGTCGAAATTAGAACGCATATTTCTGGCTCGGTATTGGAAGAATTTGGCGCCAGCAAACAGAGGTTGGCGCCAACTTTTAGCTTTAGCGCCTGGCAACAGAGCTGTCGTCTGGCGCTAAAGTCAAAATATTGGCGCTAATTTCTATTCGCTGACGCTAATTCCTACATGCCTCAGCAGCTTTCTGTGCTCGATAAAATTTTCCAGTTTCGCGCAGTGTTATTTCGATCTTAGTTGTGAAAGATATTCCTCAAATTTCCTAAGTGTAAAAATCCTATGTTTTAACTCATTACAGATGGTATTTCCAATGAGATCTTTTTTATGCATATGACAATAATGTTAATCAAAATTACGCACATGAAATACTTAGAACTTTTCGAGTCTCATCCACTCATTCTAAATCATTGCCGAAATAAATTTCAGGAATTAAAATAGAAATCCTCCCCAGTGGAGTCGCCAAAAACTTTAGGGAATATTTCAAGCGTTATCCCTAGCTTGAACCCCACTGTGATCATACACTAAAGTACGGTGGCGTCCAAAGGGAAAGAAGATAGAGCAAAAGAGTCGCCAACAAGTTTTAGGAACTAGTAAACCGTTCACGAGGTGAAAGTTACACCCCTTAACGATGCAAGAGATCGTTAACTCCAATAGGTCTTGAACCATGACTGGTAGTTCGGGGATGAAGGTACAAATCCAACCTAAAAGAGATTGAACCTCCCCTAATAATAGGCCTCTACTTTATTCTGATCGTATACATGTGCGCTTTCTGACTAACATGCAATCAATAGGATTAACCCTAAACCTGTTTATCTATGTTGGTTGAATATTAATGCACAAGCAAACCTATTATTGGCGATAACTTTAATTATAATCAAATTAGCCCTAAACAAGATTATTAATTATCTTATTAATCGTTATTATAAGTACCAATTCTCTTTAAACATGCATAAAAGGCGTGATCAAGCAATAACAATAAAAATAAATCAAGTAGGCCTATTCACGGATCGGATATCCGATCCGAAATGTGATTTCGGATCGGATATCCGAAGACTCGGATATCAAAAATTGATATCCAAATCCGATTTGAAAAATTCGGATATCCAAAATTTTCAGATCGGATGCTTCGGATATCCATTATCCAATATTAAGTAAAATTGTTATGATTACTTTCTAAATTTCACTAATTTTACCGTTTTTTTATCGCTAAGTTGTACAAAATATTTTAACAAACATAATAGTCTTTTTGCAATTAAGATTATCATCAAATATATTAAGAATATTACAATAAGTTAATAATACATGGTTAGTTTTATGAACAATTTAAATTATATTATTTTAGGCTTTATATTTCGGATATCTTTCGGATATCGGATATCCGAAATTCTGAAAATTAATATCCGCATCCGATATCCGCTTTTTCGGATCGGATATCCGATCCGAAATGAAAACTCGGATCGGATATCCAAAAATTCGGATCGGTTGCGGATTGGATTATCGGATTTTCGGATTCTCGGATAGTTTTGTACAGGCCTAAAATCAAGCAACATAATAACAATCATAAATTATAATAATCATGATTGAAATAACAACCATAATAATTAAGATAATCATGTTAAAGCATAATAATAGCAAGATCCTAGGCATGATACTAACAAGATTAATAACAAACCTTAGCATGTCACTAAACAATAAATATCAAAGTTTTAGCCCTAACATGATACTAACAATCATATTAGGAAAGAACATATCAAAACGAGTAGAAATCAGAGAAGGCGGGCCATAGAGTACGAGTCATCCCCTCTGAGGGGCAAATGTTCAGGGTAAAAATTACCCTAAAACGTGGACCAATCTCATATTGACACGTGACCCAATCAAAGGGCGACATGTGACCCAATCAAAGGGCGACACATATGCAAGCCCTACAAAGAACACCTCAAAAAGAGAGAAAAGGGTCTCCTTACATCAAGAGGCCCAAATCCTGAGAAAGCCGTAAAACGGCACCCTTATCTGGACAAGTGTCCATACCTGATCGTGCCGCCAATTAAAGCACGTCATTCTAGGGTAACAACTCTTAAAGGGCACAATTCCCAACCCCGTATAAGTACCTCAATCATTTATGATGGGAGAGGTGGATTTTGACATAACATTCAATAAAGCATTAAAACAGTTCCAACTTCTCTTTACTTTCTCTCGCTAGCCTTTCCGTTTTCCGGTTACTAACTTGACTGTCGAAGGCGAATATTCCGGCAACGAGATATTCGTTATTTTACAGGTGTCAGGGCCATCTATCAAAAGAGCACAACCAATGTCACAAGTGAAATCACAACAATACCCGAAATTTGGTCTTGAAAAAGAAAGCAAAGCGAGAAATCTCAAGTTATCCTAATTTCTTCAATTTTCCATTTTTCATATGTGCTGACATTTTTCTAGTAAAACAAAATGTTGTAATTAACGACTTCATTTATCTATCAATTTAGTTAGAATTTAAAGTACCCTTTCAAATCTTTAATGTTGCATCAATGGTAAGAAAACTCAAAGCTCAACCACAATTTTTAAACATAAACCTATATAGGACCTGTTCTTCCTAATTTTCAGTTCTCTTTAGGCCAAAATCCAAATCCATACTTTTTAGTTTCCCAAACAAGTGACTGTGCCAAATCCAACATTTAATATGGACTTGGGCCCACTTGGCAAATCCATCATTTAGTGTTTTCACTTTTCAATTAAATTAGCAATATTAACAAAATTCTAATAAGTTTGACTAATTTTTATTTCATTATATGATATACATCATATCCATAACCATTATAAAAGTGCAAAATTTGCTACTATTCCTTATGAATAGTATTTTTTGGTGTTATGACATAGCTGCCCTTAATTTTAAGGAACTGCCGAAATTGCCCTTTCTTAGCCAATTGCATTATGTATCACAGCTGTAATTGCCCTTGCTTCTCACCGACTTCCCTCTCTGTTTTCATCTCAGAAGGAAAGGGTCAGAGCATTTCTTAGGTGAAACAAGGAGAGAGAAACCTAGAGAGAGAAACCTACAGCAACTCAAGACCACCGATGATGGTGCTTCGAATTCTTCGAGTTTGAGGTTGTGGAAGACACTTTTTGGATCATCATATTCATCAGGTTCGATCTCGATTCTCTTTCTCGATTTAGTTTCAAATTTTTGGTCTTTACTTGTTCGATTGTCGTGGTTTTTTTGCATGTTTGTTCCTATTGATTTCGATATGTTTTCGAATTTTTTGGGTTGAATCTTTGTGGGTGTATTTGAGCGAAATCGTTTCGTTTTTAATGGGGTTGAATCCTTTTTTGTGCTATGTTTTTTTTGGTAGTTCTTCTTAATTTATAATCTGAATTTCGATTGAAATGTTTTTTTGGGTGATTCTTCTTAATTAATAATCTGAATTTCGATTGAAAAATAGAAAGTAATTCTTCTTAATTAATTTTCTGAATTTCGATTGAAAAATCAAACTATTCTTGATGAAGGAGTGGTGATTTCGCCCTTTTGATTTTGACCTGAGAAAGGAAAAAAGAGGAGAAAACTGCTGCTGAAGATACTTTGAATGCTTACAAAGCTGCTCAGGTTTGTGTGTTTTCTTTAATTTTTGTTTTTGTTTTTGTTTTTTTTTTTTTGGTATTTTTTTGGTTTTTGTTTTTGTTTTTGTTTTTTTGTTTTTTTTTTTTGGTTTTTAGGGTTTAGATGTTCTATTTTGCGGAGATCTGTCTAAATTAAAGATTTCATTCAATTTGTATTTGTTATTTTGAATTTATTCTCTGATTTTGCTGCTCTATATATTGAGATATGGAAGAATAACAGAGATTCGAGCTAACAATCGCTAAACAAGTGCTTAATGATGTTTGTTAAGTTACTGAACATAGTATATTGGTCGAATGACTGAGATTTGATACTTGAATATGCATATATTTGATGTATTTTGTATAATTAAGAAAATTCCTGGAGTTTTATAGGAGTAGTTTTATGTACACTAAGATTCTAGCTTTTTAATAGGGGTTTGGATATATTTTGGATATTTGAGTAAATTTTTGCAGTTTTAATAGGAATATTTGGATTTATTGTACGTAGGTCTTGGTGATGCACACATCACGGCTCAATATGTAGGTCTTGGTGCGGTTGCTCGGGATGAACTTGGGCAGCTGCTGTGGGCTGCTGTTCGAAGAGTGGCTGCGTAATCAGAGGTGGAGGCAGCTGAAGCGGTGTGTTTTGGAATGCAAATTGCACATATGTTGGGCATCTTGAACATCTGGATTGCTAAGGTATTTCAGAAGATTGATAACAGCTTCATAGGCTATTCTCCAATTTGCCTAATTTATTATGATAGTAGGAGTATGTCAAGTATGTTTGATGTTATTATTTCGTCACATGTGAGAAGGGTAGGCAACTCGGTAGCCCATCTTGTAGCTCGGTGGGATACTATTAATGTTTCGGAACTTGTTTGTATGAGTCCGTTTCCCCAAAGCATTATCTCTTTGGGGGAATTTGATTTATAATAATATATGCCTAACCTTTCAAGTCAAGCTTATAAAAGAGAAACACATGTAGCTAAAGCTTCATTACCTTTTAATAATGGCAATTAACAAACTATAATTTTTCATTTATATTCTACACTTTTTATCTTCATTTTCCTCTTATTCTTACTTCTTTTACTACAATTTCTTCGAATTTCCTCAATTTTCTTGCAGAACAAACTTGTTCTTCATCATATTCTTCTGGGTTTTAGCTTTTTCTGAAGAATTTCTCACTGGAAAGGTATACTTCTGCTCTATTTTACTTTGATATCTTAGAGTTTGATTAATTTCTTCTTTTTTATTTTTTGGTGGTGTTTGTTTTCGTGCAAATTTATGCATGATTGGTTCTTTCATTTAATTGTTTTCGTTTTTTCTTACTAATTATTTCATATTCTTAGTAATTTTGTCAATTTTTTATTTCATTTGATGAACATGATGATCTTACGCAGAATGGGTACTTAGATTTGTTACTTAATTACTTTGTAAGTTGAAAAAGTTACCCACAATTAAGGAATGATAAAAAGAAAAAGGCTACATTTAATCGTTTATTGTTAAATTATGGGCAATTTTAATTTTCATCATATTTTTTGTAACAGATTGATAGAATTTTCTTTACATTTTTAATAATGGCAACTTCGAGGAACAATGTTTTTCTTACTATTTTGGTAAAAAATCTGAATTACAATCTGAACCAATTTCAGTCATTTAAGCTCTAAAAATGACAAAACCATCAAACGCTAGATCAGCTGCAAGAATTAGATTATATTTGCACCATTATTGTTAAATTCAGTTTGAAATTTATTTAATTTATTTATTTATTTTGTGTTCTTTGTGAGTAATTGTTTCATGAAGATTGGTTGGGCTTCATTGTTTCTTCCAAATTTGTCTTATGACAGGGAATAAAAGGAAGGATGTGGCTCCAAACCATGCTGCTTCTTCAGGGAAAGGTCCTCCTATCCTTGCTGTGGTAATCCTTCTTGAATTGCAACTATACTTGCTATGATGTGTGCTACTTGGTTTTGCAGGAACAAATTCATCTTTGAAAACATAACATTGACCATAGTGTATACAACTATGGGATTTGTAAAATATGTTGAGGTGTATGGCTCTTATACACACAAAGTATTCGTTAGAACTGCAGCTCATGACTACCCTTCTGCATCAGGTTGGATTCCCCCCTCCCCCCCCCCCCCTCTCTGAAGGTATTATCATGTTGAATGTCGACGCTAATTTGATCTCTGGGTCACATGTTGGGTTGGACGTGGCTGTGAAAAACGAGCTTGCAATTGAGCAGTGTTTGCTTAATTTAGTTAAGAAGTATGAAGGGCTGTGGGAAGTAGAACAAATAACACACTTTTCCTTAAACCACTTTTAATGTTTTCTCTTATATATCAACTTTAACTTTATAAAGTTTGCTTTTGAATTAATATTTCAACAGAAATGGTTTCATGTTTTAATTTAGGGAAAATATGGAACACAGCAAACCTACTACTTTACTGAAACCCCCTAAGGTTTTAACTTTGTATATATAAATCTGGGAGAGAGTTTTGCTGGTTAGATGTCTCTGCAATGGTCACACTTTAAACACTCATTTTTTTCATCCTTGTTAGAATTCAAGATGTAATCTTGGCTTCTTTGTGTGCAAATGTGAGGAGCTTTTCCAAGGTCTTTTTTTCCCTTCGTGTTATGGTGGTGTGAGATTGTTGTGTGGTGCTTGTGAGTTAGTTGTTGTGGTGTGATTGTTCTTGTGTTCTTCTTCTCAAGTATTATTGTTCTGTGCTTGCTGCTGCAAGAGTTGTTTGTTTTGTTGGGGGCTGCTGTGCTTCCTTTCTTAATTGAGTATTTGTGTGTGTGTTCTTGATATATGGATAACTAATTCAATGGCTCTTACTTAGAAACTTGCTACTAAGGTATCTCTTCATTCCCATGGTTTTCTTTATTTAGTTCATTTTAAAATTGAGAATTTCTCAATTCAATTTGATAAGAAATCGGGGGCTTTTGTTTTAGTTGAGTTCGTTTAAAATTGAGGGGTTTTCTCAAATCAATTCAAATCGTTTTAAAATTGTAGTTTTCCAGTTTAAATCAATTAGTTTATTATTTTGGGCTAGTTTCGATGCAATTTGGTAAAAAAAAAATAGGGATTTGATTTCTCTGCATTCTAAAGTTAGGGCTTTATTTATTTATTTATTTGATTAAGATTGTTAAATGTCTAATTGATTATTTTTTTAATGAAGGTTGTTAGAAAATTAGTTCTGACTAGCAGAGGAGTCAAGAACCCTCGCGTTACCATCTTGAAACTGCTGCTCTTCGGTAACTTTTCATGTAAAAAAGACGACTCCAATAATTGTTTATTAAAAGATTTAATGATTTCAGAATTGAGCTATTGTTTTAAATTATCTTCAATGATTACACCTTTATAACACACTCTTGATCCAAAATGGACAGTCATGTATTACTTTATTATATGAAGTAAATTATAAGCAGAGTGCTCAACGATCCATTTAATTTCTTCTGTAGTTTATGTAATTGTGAACTTCAAATCCTGTATTATACTACCTGTATTATACTATTATTAGACTTTATGCTTTTGATTAGGGATCAGTAAATGTATATGTTAATAGATAAAGCAGTGAGGTATGCTTGCAAAAACAAGATAACTATCTGAAGTTATATGGTGCCACTACAAGTGTGATATCAAGAATTCCTTATTTTCAACTGAAATATTTGGTTTTGATTAATTGGAGTTCTGGTTTGACTCTTTCAGGTTAATACTCTTAAGGTAGCAACTGCAGTTCATTGCATCAAGCATATAGCGATGAAAATTATGACTTCAAATGCAACAAATCGCTTTTCTTTATCTTGTCGTTTAGGCAAAACAAAATGTGAGCTTCATAAGTGTTTACAGATATATAGTACGGAGTAATGATATTGAGCTTCGTAGCTTTTTGGCTTGTTATTTTACACATTTTTAGATCCATATTTTAATCGAGAATTTTCTTAGTAGACCCGGAATTCTATTTGTAAATTATCTTCTGATCGTGTGCTTGGTATATTCTGATTTGATTCTTGTCAAATTGGGCGAGTTAATATGTTCTTTTGGATACATGTATAATCTAAGAATATGATCAATTTGTTTTGTTCTGGATAATTTGGAGTGGAAGTTGTTGCATGTCAAATTGTTAGCTGGTTGTACATTAAGCTCCTTTTTTTGTCAATAAATGTACATTAAGCTTTTAAAGGTGAAAACATCCTATTTTCTGGGTTATTAAAGAGGAGTATTGTAAGATGGGTAATTTTTAAACGCATCACTTTTACTTACATTGCCCTAAATAACACTAGCCTCTTTACTCAATAGGCTAAGCATTATGCGCTTGAATTCCACAATTTTATTTATCCGTTATGTGATTGTCAAACTACTTTATATGCTTTGGATATAGGAAGAAGTTCAATTAATTTTTTAATGCGTTTCACTTTGGAGATTGTATGCATATGATATCAGTATATATTTACATCGTTACCTGTACTTTTTGATATTTTAGATACAGAGAGAGAGGAAATGAAAAAAAGTAAGGGGAGAGAAACTTTTTAGGTGTAATCAAGGAGATGAAAATAGGTTTTAGAAACTTTCAAAACTACTCAAAATTATAAAACATAAATAAAAGAAAATGAAAGTTAAAAAGATAGAGAAACAGAGTGACCAAGAAAAAGGGAATAGAAATCGACAATTAGAATTTGACAAACTTCAAATCTTTCACTAAATGATATTCGTTAATAAATGTGGTTTTGTGATAATTATGGAAATGTTAACTAATTTGTAGCACTTTCAGAATAAAACGTTTAACCTTATAGTAGACTTGTGCTAGATTCACAAGTAAATGTTTTTTTTTTAATGTTAATATAACCATAGTAATAGATTGCTTTCAAGAGATAAAATGAAAGAAGGATGGAGGGAGGAGAAGACAGGAAGTGGGAGGAGGAGGAGAGAGAGTAAAAAAAGGAGGGAGTGGGAGGAGCGAGAGAAAAAGAGAGAGGAAAAAGGGAAGGAGTGGGAAAAGAGAAAGAAAGGGGGGGGAGGGAGTTGGACGAGAGAGAGGTGTGAGAAAGAGATAGAGAAGGTCGGGATTGAGAGAGAGATAGAGATGAGCCAAGAGGAGAGGGAGAAAAGAGAGACTATGAGAAAAAAAGAGATAAGGGCCGGAAGAGAAAGAAACAGATCAATTAAGAGAAAGAAGGGCAAGGAGAGAGAGATAGAGTGATAAAGAAATAGATGAGTCGGGAAAGAGGGAGGAGTCAGGATAGAATAAGAGAGGGAGGTAGGCTTACTTAACCGTTCAAACCATATAAGAAGAGTAAATAGGTTGGAGAAAAAAAAAGGGGAACAGATGGTGAAAGAAAGTAGGTAAGAATGAATTGAAAAAGGAAATGATATAAGATGAGGAAGAAATATAATAGAGAGGGTAAGTACGAGGAAGAAGAGATAGGAAGAACTTAAAATCAAATTAGTGACTACCACACAAATAAGATCCCCTAATCATCATGTTAATAACACCCCAAGCTACGAAACACGATTAAAATTCCACAAATCTTACATATCATACCGTGGGGGGGGGGGGGGGGAGCGCGTAGTGTGTGCTCCAACGACTGTAATCTTAAATATAAAAGTGTAAAGCTATTCCCTCCAACTGTATTTATATAAAAAAAAATCGTATATAAAATAATTTATACATAAATGACCAGCAAATAAACTTTAATACATACACAAATATTTCTCATTCATTTTATACCTTCCGTATCTATTACAAAATCTAATTAATATAATTTTTCAATAGAAAAACCACTCAAAAAGTTTCTACTTTAAAAAGTCTAACAAACTAATATACCATTAGTATTGCATTTTTTTATTACTACTTTTTATTATCACAATCATTTTAAAATAAAGCTATTCAAAAATAATATCTATAACAATAATATAATTTTTAAAAAATCTTTGAGTTATAACAAATTCTAGATAACTTCACTTATAATAATTGTTTTTTCATAGATATTTCCCCATAGAAACTTTATCACTACACCTTGTTAGTATTTACAAATTCATGTATCCTTATTATTACAAAACCGGAAAACCCGAGCACAACCACGAATTTTACTTATCTTGCCGTCGGAGGGGCACGCACAACGCGCGTGCTCCAACGACTAGTTGATTATAAAAAACAAAAAACCAAAAAAATAACTACAACAATACCACAAGAACCCTAAACTTACGTGCTTAATGGATTAAATCGTGTGCAGGGACAATAAGACTAACACCCATGCACGGTGCCACTGCTAAATTTAACTTATTCATTTGGGGTTTGAAACTTGCTTATTTTAAGAGTTTACTCAAACTTGTGAAAAGCCATAGAAGTTCAACCTTGCTTTCATCCTATCGTGTTGAATTGGTGTTAAATGGACGAATTAGCATGCAACTTTGCACCAAAACAATACAACACAAGCAGAAAAAATAGGCAACAAAAAATATAGTATCATACTAATTCTTACAAGTCTTGAAGCAAACAGCTCGACATGGATGCAAAGCCACTTTCTCTGAGAACTTAATTAGATCCCAAACAAAACAGTAACAAAATTAATAGATAAAATTTTGATTGGAGATGCAAAACATCATAATCCCTCTCAAATCTTGTTGAAGGCAACAATATCACAACTCTGAACATACTCGTTGATTGGCTCGGCTGTCAAATGGTCCTCGATAAGATCATCAACAGAGACCAAGTCATCCACAATTGTCATCATGATGGTCATTTTCTTGATACCATATCCAACAGGGACAAGTTTGGCTGTCAAGCAAAAGATAAACCCGAGTCAAACGATTTAGCTAAAATGAAAATAAATCGAAACAAAGTGTAAAGAGTTTTAGTAGTTGTAACACAAGGTATGGTACATACATGCTCCCCATAGCAAACCCTCCTGATGAACACTCCTGACAGCTTCCTCGAGCTTCACCATGTCAGTTTCATCATCCCATGGCTTCACATCCAACAAAACTGATGACTTGCCAGCTGTTTCATCAAAATCAGAAAAACAATATTACATAAACGCCAAGAAAAAAGGATGAGCATTCACAGCCATTAATCCACAAGTATCAACCATTCAAGACAACACAAGTCACTCACATTCTTTCTTTTTAGCAGACTTCTTAGCAGCAGCTGCTCGTTCTTCAGCAGCGGCCTTCTCCTCTTCGGTCTCTTCACCGAAGAGATCAACATCATCGTCATCTTCATCATCAGCAGCTGATGCCTGACATATTCCAATTATTATATGATTAGGAACCATCAAATCAGGACCTCAAAAAAAAAAAAAGGAACCATCAAATCAGGACCTCAAAAAAAAAAAAAAGGAACCATCAAATCAGGACCTCAAAAAAAAAAAAACTATCAAATCAGACATAATTGGAAACTTTCACAAAAATACCATGAGAATCCAATAACATAAAAAGAATGTGATACCACCTTAGTGTCGGCAGCAGGAGGCGTAGCGACATCAGAGGCAGGAGCATTTCCCTCAACTGTAACACCTGATCCCTCACCGGACACGCCACTATAAAAAAACAACAAAATATTCAATCAATCTTATAAAAAATCAAATTATCCTAATCCAACTCAATCAAATCAAACATGAAATCGAGGATCAAAGCAAGTAAATCTTACGAGATCCTCAAAAGCGCATCAATGTGTTTGTACCACCTAGATACATTCACATATGAATCCAAAGATTTTTTCGGGACAGCCGAATACACGGTGAGATCATCCTTGGAGGCTTGGTAACTGGCATATTAAACACAATAATAAAGATTAAAATTGTCTCAAACAACAATATGTTATCAAGATTAAAATTATCTCAAACAACAATATTCTACTATGAAATTACGCAATTCAATAATTATGACTAACCCTGTAATGTAACTCCTACTGAGGAGGTACTCATCGAGCTTTTTCAAACCAGCATCAGAGCTCAAATCGTAGAATGTAACTGCCATTGATCTAGAACCATAAAGTTCGGATCTTTAATCAGAATTTGTTGTAAAACACAAGAATTAATCAATTATTTGATAAACCGCAATTCAATTAATCAATTATTTGATAAACCCCAGTAATTTAATCCGTACAACATTAATTATAAATCAGAAACCTAAATTTCAAACTACCCAATCAATTATAAAATTGAAATCGTAGAATGTAACTGCTATTGATCTAGAACCAGAAAGTTCGGATCATTAATCAGAATTTGTTGTAAAACACACGAAATAATCAATTATTTCATCACCCGCTAAAACCCCAGTAATTTACTCCGTAATAATTATATATTAGAAATCAAAAATTTTCAAATAAACTATCCAATCAATTATCAAATTCAAATCGAAGAATGTTACTGCCATTGATCTAGAACCAGAAAGTTCGGATTTTTAATCAGAATTAATCAGATTTTGTTGTAAAACACACGAATTAATCAATTAATTCATAAACTGCTAAAACCACAGTAATTTACTCCGTAGATCAAATAAGTATACACAAGAAACCAAGTTAAAATAAATTATCCAATCAGTTATCAAATTCTAATCTTCTCACTTGACAAATATGAATATCTTAATTTGACTCAATTCAAATTTTTTCACCCTAAATTGAATTAAATTAACGATTAAAGTTAGATTGATAATCGATGATTTAATAAAACATCTTACCTTAATGAGGGAAGAAAACTGACAAGCCGGTTGAACGGAGAATTGAGAGATTTTAGATTCAAGAAGACAGTGAAGTTCTGTATTTTCTCAGTGTACTGCAATGCGGCTGCTCCAAATATATAGACGACTGACTAGGTTAAGCTCCAAGCCTCCAACTAAAGTGAGTTTTTTTTTTTTTTTTTTTTGGTAAATAGCTCCAAATCTCCCATTAAAGTTGGGAAAAAAAATTGTAATTATTAAATCAACCTTTTTGACCGTTCACTTTTATAGTTTTATTACGTTAACCTTTTGATTATTTTTAAACACGTCAACCTTATATTACCATTAATTTTTATTATTTCCTCCGTTTCAATATAATAATCTCATATGAAATCAATCACATAAAATAAGAAAATAATAATATTTGGAATCTAACATTAAAGTAC